TGTGTCATCATTTTAGGGACAAAATTGTAGACTTGTATAACTCAATGAGTTAACCTTGACCAAACTCAATGATTATTTTTCGTCAAAACTCCTAATGGTATTATCAATAGAACCAAATTGACACAAATCCGAAATTTATAATCAAAATTGAGCCAATTGAAAATGTAGGGATCAAAATGACACAAGAGGCAAAATATAATGACTACTAGTATAATTTATCCTTATTAATTAATATTTTCATGAATTTGATTACGATCCATGCAATGATTTCTAAAAAGGAACAAAATCAATTGAGTGATGAGTTTACATAGTAATACAGTAAGTGTGAAAAAAATGCCAAGGTAGGATTAATACCCAAAACAATGAATTTTTTTCTTAACTTTTGTGTTAGGAACATTTTCTCCACATTTATCATTATATATAGATATGTATATTTGTATTATTGTTTACCTTGATTTGGTTGCCAATTTAGTCTGCCAATGTGAATTAAGCAAGCCAATCTCAAAATCCAAAACCATTGTGCATCCAAAGGGTTCCACAAATGCTTCGAAAGACTAAGAATTATCAGAATAACTATGCACCAAGGGTGGTTTCCGTTGGTCCATATCACCATGATCATAACAACCTCAAGCTTCAACGAATGCAAGAGCTCAAGCCTCGAATCACAAGTAAGCTGGTCTCAGATGACCAACAGTTGCTTGAAGACTTACACAAGCAGCTTTCCCAGAAGGTCAAGCAATTGATAGATTGCTATGAAGAGAAATCAACAAATGAATACAATGACGATGAATTCATAAGGATGATGCTCGTGGATGGTTGCTTTATTTTGTATTTCATTAACTATGTCACAGAGCGAAAAGTACATAAGGTTGAAATAAAAAACCACAATGTAGCCTTTATATGATAGGACTTGTTCTTGCTGGAGAATTAACTTCCCTTCCTTGTCCTCGAGGAACTTATTAATGACCAAAGAATATATGCACAAGGTTACACGATGAAAATGATTGATATGTTCATCGCCGATAGCATTATGGCACCAAATGTAGGCAAGAATGTTGAAGAGCTATGTCCATTGCATCTTCTAGATGTTCTGCACAAAAGACTTGTAGGTTGCAAACATGTTGAACTTTGTGTATCAAATCGATACACTTTTCGCAATGTTGAGGAGCTCATTGATATGGGGATCCATGTTAAGAAGAACAAGAAGAGTAGTTGCTTGACAGATATTAACTTTAGTTCATTTTGTAACTTTGGGAGGCTTGAACTTCCTACAATAACAGTTGATGACTCAACTAAAGCAAAGTTCTTGAACTTGATAGCCTATGAAATGTGTGGAGATACCCCAAACAATCTCTGGGTGACCTCTTACATTTGTTTTCTTGATTCACTTATTGATAATCCAAACGATGTTACGGAGTTGAGATCGGCTAATATACTACAAAATTGTCTTGGTAGTGATGTTGAAGTAGCTACTCTCTTCAATAAGATAGGCAAAGATTTGGTGCCACACCCTTGTGCCTACGAAAGTGTGAAAAAGGAGATTCAAAGTCACTATGATAACAGAGGGAAGGCTTTTATTGCTCAGTTCAAGCACAGATACTTTAAGAGCCCGTGGAGCTTTCTTGCTTTATTAGGTGCATTATTAGCTCTAGTTTTAGTGGCATTCAAGCTAGCTACCAAATTTGGCCTCAAGGAAGCAAATGTGATAGTGTTTGCAAGTATATCAAAATCGCTTGGCACATATGAGGTGAGCTCATTTCTTGTTGTTCAGGGGGATCAACAGAGGATACTCTTTGTTTCTGCTTCTATTCTTCATTATTAGTGGGTTTTGTAACAGTGGAAGCTTTGTGAGCCATTGTTCACTAGTAGATGTATGTTGTGCTTAGTTGATTGATGTTAGATGGGTTTGGATGCAGGTTTGATTACCTCTGTTAAGGAATGTTTGGTATTAGTATTTGTATTGTGTGTTGTTGCGTAGCTAGTAGTGGTTGGGGTGGAGTTTTTTTGTTGGTCTCTCACCAACTTTTGGTATTGTGCTAGCATATGATTGGGATTTCCCATTTGGTGCCAATCTAGTTGGAATCGTTTAGCTTGGTTATGATATTTTTTGCACTCACCATTTTATTAATGTATCATTTATTATCTCATGTTTTGTACTTTCATTTTCTATTAATAAAGTTCTTTTCTTTACTAATCAACAAATAAAAAAAATAAAATAGAGGAACCAAAAAATTGTTTTAGTTTCATTATGCAAGTGCTTCCAATTTGGAACTTGTTCTTCAAATAAAGTGTATGTTCCCTTAGTTGTATTTATATACTATATCGTTACAATTATCAAATTTAAAATAACATCTGATTACGTTACCAATGCGTCCGTTGGTATAATGAGCCCTACTTGACATGTCTTTCACTAATTATTTATTGGTGGCATAAGATAGTATTCGAAATTTGGTAATCGAATTTAATTATTCTAGCATTAGATATGTCAAAATTGCTTTGATCTCAACATTTTTTTTATTGGTAGGAAAAAAAGATTATTGATGTATTCAAGCATAATACAAAACAGGTATAAATAAATACATCCATTAAAAGAAGCTAAAACTATGTTGAATTTAGGAAATAATAATATTGTAATTATAGTAGTATGTATAAAATCTGTGATTATGTAAATCATAGATTTAGTGTCTTTATACTTTCATTTCCTATTTTGTAATATTGTTTCATCATATATCCATGGCTCTACCTCATTCAAAGGTAACCCAATTCATTCTTTTCGGTATCAGAGCAAGGTTCTTACTTTCATCGATTGTCCCTTCTTTCTACCCACCATCATCGACTATTAGCCCACCTCTTCCTAGCCTTTGACAACCAGCCCTAGCCTCGGACAGTCAGCCCACACCTTCTCCTCCACCCAAAACTCAAACCCAACCTCTCCAGACCCTTTGTTGGCTCTCATCTACCCTTGATAGGTCTTATTTTTCTATGTCGACGGTTTGTGTGTTGTCAACTAGGTTGCTTTCTTGTCTCAATTGAGTCGGAGCTCTTTTTTTGGGTAGTCTGAATCTTATTTTCCCTTTTAGGGGTGGTGCTTTAATGTATTAAGCGCCCTTTTCAGTTTTGTTTCCCTTTGAAAGTAGATTCATTAGTTACTTCTTACATAGCATGACTCTTGTTAAAATACACACTAACCAAAGTAGAGACAAAACTATGTATTTACCTTTTTGTGTATTTTTGCTAGGCAGTGTTGGAGTTGCTCTAAGTTAGTGATGTGATTAATAGGAGCATGCCATATACAAAGGAACTTCTGGTTGTTAAGCTAGACTCATTGTGTACACAATTTGTATTGACATGGATAGAGAGGTCTATATAATGTAATTGATAATATGTTAATGTTTTTCTTGTTTATTTTCTTTGCAGATTGGTTTTTGATGGTGTTTGGAAGCATACTTGCAAAACAAGATCGAGTGTAGAATTTTTTTTTTCCTGAACTAATATTTAGTTGTAGTTGTAAATCAAGATTGAGTGTTGATTTTTTATTTATTTATTTTTATTTTTTTTGTGGACTCCGCATTAGTTTATTTTGGGATTTTCTTTGATGGTGTTTTTGTTATACTTAATGGATTATTATTAAAGTTGTTTCATGGATATATTTTGATTTATAATATAATTGTTTAGTGAATTTTTTTGTGGAGTGGTGTATAATAGCTAGTGGATTTCTCAGTACATTTAAAAGGTTATTAGGATATGAGCAGGGATATTTGTGAAATAATAATTTGAATTGAAATATAAAATATGTAACAAGTTTAGTGACGAATTTGTTTCGCCATTTGTACTTGTTATTATGACAAAGTGATTATTCGTAGCTGATAAATATTTTTTGTGACAAAATTTATTACAGATTATATATGAAAGTTTTCATTGAATTTGTTGTTTTGGTGACTAAAAATTTGTCACGTATATAATTTTTTGCATGAAATATATTCGACATGTATTTGACTTTTGGAGACAAAAAATTTCATCAACTTTACATCTTACTGTGATGAAATTATTTCCTCATCAATGATCAACATGTGTGACAAATTTATTCGTTAACTAAAGTTATAAATATAGTATTGAATAACTATTTGGTGACGAAAGTGAGGATTTTTGGCAACAAAACGTTATTTTATTGGTAACAAAAAATTTCATCGCTGAAGTAATTTTATTGGTGACGAAATTACTTTTCATCACGGTAGTTTTTAGTGACAAACATTCAATGACGAAACCAGTGAGGAAAATATTTTCTCACAAATATCTATAGCGACGAAATTAACTCTTTGGAGACAAAAAAAATTCGTCATTCAAGACCCAACTTGTTATAGTGGTGGTAGTGGTGGTAGCAACGGTGGATGAGTAGTAAGTCAAATTTGATTGAGTAGTTTGTGGAGTCTTATTGACTAGAAAGTGAGATTTAATTGAGTATTAAATCGAGTCTGATTGAATAGTAAATGAAGTCTAAATGAGTAGGATAAATAAAAATTATTTAGCAATTTTTATAAAGTCGAATATTTTTAAAAAATACTTACCATGTACAAATAATTTATTTAATAATTTAATGTAGTAATAAGTAGACCTTTATTAAGTAGTAAATTATGTTTAATTGAATAGTAGTAGGATTAGGTTTTAAATAATCCTGTCAATTATTTGTATTTGTAAAATGATAACACATTGCTTGATGTTCGAATAAGTTATAAGTAATATTTCGTGACCATGTTATAAAATTACTCCTTTAGTTTGATTTGGTTTTAAGATTTTTATAGTTTGATTCTAAATTTTAGAAATCTATAGGTAATCGTTTGGTCATTAGTTTATTCTTAAACATATGAAACTAAATTATGCTCACCCCTAATAAAGAAGTTTACTACTTAATATGACTCTAATTATCATTTGTTGTGAGTTAATTTACTACTAAATACAATTAATCTTATTAATTTGATATAATTATACTCATAGTCAATAACACAATGAGTTATAATCAACGATCACAAAATTCATAACTAGACATAGTACACATCCAAAAAAAAAAAAAAAAAAAAAAAAAAAAGAGTCACTACAACAAAAACACATTTTAGTGACACCATACTAGTGGTATGTTCTTAAAAAATGTCACAAAAAGAATATTTTGTGGCATTTTTTTAAAAAATGTCATAGAGCCACAAACATACAAGGCTCTAGTGGCATTTTAATTAAAAAAAGTGTCACTTCACTACAACAAAAATGTCACTATAACAAATTTACACTTTAGTGACACTACACAGTGGCATGTTTTTAGAAAATGTCACAAAAATAAAAATTGGCATTAAATATTTTAGAAAAATGCCACAGAACCACAAACATATAAGGCTCTAGTGGCATTTCAATAAAGAAATGTCACATCAATTTTATGGCATTTTATAAAATAATGACACAAAAAATTATGTTTGTGACATTTAGCAACAGATGCCACTAAACTTTAGTAGCAATGGCATTTTTTTAAAAATGTTAGGACACTAGATATGTGCAAATTACTTTTTACGGCACTTAGGTAAAAAGTGTCATAAACAAATATTTTATAGCATTTTGAGAAATGCCACTAAGCCAAAAACTTTCCAAGCTTATAATGGCATTTTTAAAAAAACAAAAAAATGCCAATATATTTTCTAAATTTTTAAAATGCAGTAAATTATTAAAAATAAATACATTAAACTCAATATACACTACAGGAAAAAGCACATTCGGCGACTAAATTTCCTGATCCAAAAAAATTTGGTCGCTGAAAGTATAGTTTTCAGCGACCAAAACAGCATTAGTATCCAAAAGTAAAGCTTTTTAGCGACTAAACAATTTTAGTAGCCAAAAGTCTACAATTGGCGACTAAAACTAAGTTTGGTCGCTAATTATATGGGTTTTAGTGACCAAAAAATTTTTAGTAGCTCAATGTAAAGCTTTTTGGCGACTAAAAAAATTTAGTAGCCAAAAGTCTACAATTGGCGACTAAAAATAAGTTTGGTCGGTGATTATATGGGTTTTACCGACTAAAAAAGTTTTAGTAGCCAAAAGTAAAACTTTTTGGTGACTAAAAAAATTTTAGTAACCAAAAGTTTACAATTGGTGACTAAAAAATAAATTTAGTCGCCAAAAGTGGTCATTTTTAGCGTGGGAGAACTAAAATCCTAAGGCGGGAATTAAATTTTTTGGCGACCAAAATTTTGGTAGCTGAAAGTGCATCTTTGGCGACCAAATCCGAATTTGGTCGGCAAAAGTTAAGTTTTTTAACAACTAAAAAACAATTAGTAGCCAAAAGTGATTTTTTTTTTATTTTGCTAGTAAATAGTTTATTTTACATAAATTATATTCAATAAAATAATTATGTTTATACATATACTTTTATATTAATATGGATGTATGTACTATATAAATAATATATGTTGCATATATAATCATGTGGTGCTATAGAGGTGTAGTGAAAAAAGTGTGGTGTTTAAGGTTTACGGTGCGAGAGGTTGGCGGTTCGACTCTCTGCAAGAGCGGATCAAATTGTTCCACAATGAATTATCGTCACGAATAGTGTCTATCATGACATTAAAGTATTGCTGAATGGTTTTAGTCTTGACATTAAAGTGTCACTAACTCTTTTTTTAATGACGCTTGATAGTGCCACAAATAATATCTACCATGACATTAAAATGTCATTGAAAGTTTTTAGTTATGATGCTGTAGTGGCACTTGCAAGTATCGACCGTGGCACGGATACAAATGGCATTTGTTTAAAATGTCACAAGACTAAAAAATGACATTAAACTA